GTGTGTGTGTGTGTGTGTGTGTGTGTGTGTGTGTGTGTGTGTGTGTGCGCAAACTGCAGCTTGGGCCTCCTACATGACCAACTCTCCAACTGTGATAGTGATGATTGGGTTGCCCGCTCGAGGGAAAACCTACATGTCCAAGAAGCTGACACGCTACCTCAACTGGATTGGAGTGCCAACGAAGGGTCAGTACGGAAGCAATACCGCATGTTTTAGTTTTATGAATGTTGTAACGTTTGATCTGTCCATAAACAGTTAGGATTGGATTCAGAGCCTCAGTGAGTCACTATAAAAAGTTATTTTTGGAAGGTGCAGTGCAGACGTGCATCTAACTTGAATCAGGGTGGCACCATGATGCACTGCTTTCTATTTTTATCTACCCGGGACGATACCTTTTAAAGTTCTTGTACAAACAGCCCTGAAGGAAACATGACTCAGGTGGATATCGCTGGTAGGGCCTGTGAGTGTCTCCTCTTTTGCCGTTTCTCTTGTTTCTTTTTGTATTGTTTGTGTCCTAACATGTGGAATTGTTTTCTGTTTAAAACTGCTTCCGTCTTGACCAGGAAGAAGAGATCTTGTCTCTTGGTGGGACTGTGCTGTCTAAATATAGCATAGATTAAAAAAAGCGATTACTTATCTGAAAATATTATGCTTAAGGCAGTGCTTTGTTAATTCATAGTTCTGTACATGTCACCACCCCCTTTCAGCTGGCTCAGTCTGCAGTTTCTCTCTCTCTGTGTTCCCTCTGCAGTATTTAACCTCGGCGTCTATAGGAGAGAGGCAGTGCAGTCCTACAAGTCCTACGACTTCTTCAGACATGACAATAAAGAAGCAATGCAAATTAGAAAGTGAGTAAGAAAGCTTTCTCTTCGCGTTGCCCCAATTTGGTGTCGTAGATTGACTCCTTTCCCTTTGACTTCCTGATCAATGTACTGATTGTGTTTCCTCAGGCAGTGTGCTCTGGTGGCCCTGGAGGATGTCAAGGTCTATCTGAATGAGGAGGGAGGCCAGATCGCTGTAAGGACACGAAACACTCAATCTATTGTTTATGGATATGAATTGATTTGGGCTGAACATCTTGTGTTGTCTGTCAGGTTTTTGACGCCACCAACACCACCAGAGAGAGGAGGGAGCTCATCCTTAGTTTTGCTCAGGATAATTCATACAAGGTCAGAGTTACGTTCATGATTTCACCATTGAGGTTCAGTGTGTCTTCACATGAATTCTGAATTTCTAATGATTAACACCTTTCGTTAGGTGTTTTTTGTCGAATCAATATGTGACGATCCCGACGTCATCGCGACAAATATCCTGGTAAATGATGCTTTTATGATTTTTTGTTTTTTGTTTTTGAAGCACAGTTTTGTCCTCGTTGGATTTCACAGTGCATCATCTCTACACATGTTTCTCTCACAAAAGGACGTGAAGGTGTCCAGCCCAGATTACCCTGAGAGGGACAGAGAAAGCGTCATGGAGGATTTTCTGAAGCGAATAGAATGTTATAAAGTGACCTACAAACCTTTGGATCCGGATGAACACGACAAGTAAGAAAGCTTCACGCCGTAAGTCTTTTATGGCTAACTGTCCTCAGTAGTTTCCTTGTGTTGGCCTTGTAGATGATTTGTCTTTATGGGGGTAAGAACAGAACATAAACTGTCCACCAGGTGGAAACAGGAGCTACTTTATGATCTTGTTGGTTATCGTCTATTATTTAATGGGTTGTGATTTGAGGAGCTGGCATACGTATTAAAATGAATAAAGTAACCTAACTTAAATTAGGCTTAAATTAATACTTGTTGATAGCCTTAAACCTCGTCCTTGCTAATGACACAGAATGTCCTGAAGCGTGTGATGAATGAAATATCAGAATACTCAGACTACACCAAAAAGTACCAGGTATCCCTTCGCCCTTCGAGTCTTGAGTTACCGCACTGACTCACTTTCCGTTGTCCTCTTTTTCTCTCTGACACACAGGAACCTCTCCTTCATCCAGGTCATCAATGTTGGCCGTCGTTTCTTGGTCAACAAGGTGCAGGACTACATCCAAAGTAAAATAGTGTACTACCTCATGAACATCCACGTGCACTCCCACTCTATCTACCTCTGTCGGCACGGAGAGAGCCATCACAACGTGGAGGGACTCATCGGGGGAGACTCTGAGCTGTCAGAGAGAGGGAGACAGGTGCTCTAACTATTCATCCCAGCAGCATCTCCAAAAGTCTTAAAAGAAGTGTTTGACATTTTTGGAAGCGCACTTAATTAATTATGATACCATTCTAATATGTGCTTTTTTAAATATGAAGCAGCAGCTTTTATTAGTAAAGACAGGAAACAGCTATTCTGGCTCTTTTTTTTTTTTTTTTTTTACGTATCAAACAAAAGAGACAGAGTGTGTTAGTTAGCTAGCTGTTTCCCCCTGTTTCCAGTCATTGCGCTAAGCTAAGCTAACTGGCTGCTGGCTGTAGCTTCACATTTATTGGACAGATATGAGAGCGGTGTCAATCTTCTCATATCACTCTGAGCAAGATAATAAGCGTCTGTGCCAAAATGTCAAGCTAGTCCTTTGATATAATGTCCAGAACAACTTGAGAAGCTTTTGAAAGTTATAAAATCAAGCAACACATTGTAAACAATTAGTTTTAGCATAAAACCAGGAAGACGAAGAGAATATTTGTAACTTCTGTTTTGTGTTTGGGTGTCTCTTCTCCAGCATAAACGTCTCTTTCGTATGTCCTCCTGTCAGTTTTCAGCAGCACTGAAGGGTTTTGTTCAAGAGCACCATCTGTCAGACCTGAAGGTTTGGACGAGCCAGCTGAGGCGCACCATTCAGACGGCAGAGGAGCTGGGAGTTCCCTACGAGCAGTGGAAGATCCTCAATGAAATAGATGCTGTAGGTGCTCTCATCTATAGCTGAAGAGACAGGCGTTCACTGTGAGGGCGTGTGTTTTATTCGCCTGCTTTGTGTTTCAGGGAGTGTGTGAAGAAATGTCCTATGAGATTATTGAGGAAACGTACCCAGAGGAGTTCGCCATGAGGAGCCAGGACAAGTACCATTACCGCTATCCGGGAGGAGAGGTAACAGCCTGACAGATTAGAGTCTGTAATGCTTCTGCCCATTATGTTTCTTTGTGCCTCTGCGACGGCCGTGGCCGGAGGCATTATGTTTTTTCGGTTTGGTCGTCGTTCTGGTGAATGTGTTATCTCAGGAACGCCTGGAGGGGATTTCTGCAAATTTGGCACTAACCTCCACCTGGACTCAAGGAATGAATATTAGATTTTAGTGGTCAAAGGTTGTTGGCCACAACTCAAGAATTTATGGGCTAATTATGCAGAGGATAAAATGATGACATTTTGGACAGACATGGACGTAAACGTTGTAATTGATTTTTGACCATTTAATGAGGTATCGCTTTAGAGACCTCCATAGTTTTTTAGATTTGATTATAAATATAGTTGTCAGTTGAGGAAGTGATGATCGGAACAGTCACTGTTATGACTTACTCACGCTGACTGGTCGGCGGAAACACACAACCACAAGGCGATAAATATTGTTTAATAATGAACTGGAAAATGATCTTCAATAAAAGCTGAATCAAACTTGTCTGTACCTTTTTGGATCTAGTCCTACCAGGACCTGGTTCAGCGGCTGGAGCCGGTCATCATGGAGCTGGAGCGACAGGGCAACGTGCTGGTCCTCTGTCACCAGGCCGTCATGCGCTGCTTGCTCGCCTATTTCCTGGACAAGAGCGCAGGTAACAAGCAGAAACATGACACGAGCCTCGACGAAGCCTCACATTATAGAAACATATTTACAGTAAACTGCTGAGTCTCTGCGAACAGCTGTTTTTATCATTTATCTAAAACTTGTACGACCATTCTACTCAATCCCTCTTTAACAAAAGGGCTTATTGAAGATCATATTGTTCCCCTGAGAACACATTCAACACCACAACATTTAGGTCTATTTGTGACATTGAAATCTGTCGTACTCTGGATTTGCGAAGGTGCAAGAAGAGGAGCAATTAAGAGACCTAAATGAAGAGAAGTGTGGCACGACTGACCAAGACTCATCCAAAGTGGATGCACAAGCACAGTAGCACCAGTCTAGTAGTCTGTCACACAAACTTTGGCCTTTTTGGTTGGTTGTAATTTGGCCTTTGACAGGCTGCTGTTAGTTGGTGTTGTAGCTCCAGACCACAGCTGTTTAAAACGGACCCTCTCAGTAATTAGATCTGTAATCGCAGTAGTGATTTACCTGTGGGTTGTTCCAATGGATAGATCATGGCTGTAAATGTTTCAGCCTATTTTGACAGTAAGGAGGATAGTAAGGAAACATATTTTAGAAACAATGAATATTGCCATCTGACACAGTGTATTCTCTGATGTCACCACAAGAGGACGCCACAGTCTGGATTTTTCAAACGCAGTACAAAGGTGACTTGAAGCATTTGGCTCGACCCAAACAAAGAACTGTTGCCGTAAAACAGGGTAAACCAGGGGTGTCAAACTCATTTTCACTCCGGGCCACATCAGCATCATGGTTTCCCTCAAGTTTGGACTTATCCTGAGCTACATCATCAGCTACACATTTATGGATAGTCTATTATATTCAGACACTTGCTTAAAGTTGTGTGGAGACGATTCATTTTAAAGCAATGATATTAATCAGGCGCTGAATCATGACCTCTAACATACACTTCGACCGTGTGTCAAAAGACTCCGTGACGCTCTAAAAGAGAGCGTCAGAAATGATGACTTTGCAGATGTTTTTGTACTCTGTTTATTAATTTTTCCCCCAATTAAACAGTATTAATACTAAAAATGACAAAGACAAAGAAATGCAGAATGCAGATTCTCCACATATTCATTAAAGACATTTCTGATTTTGTTCCTCTTTTCAAGTGATCTCAGTTTCTCTATTTGACGACACATTAAGATCTCATATGAACGACGGAGGGCAGGTAGCCTCCCACCTAATTACGATCACTCGTCAAGCTCACAATGCAGCAAATGCTGTTGCGTTCCACGATGGCAGAAATCCTGACCAGATCATAAACACTAACATCTATTTTGCCTTTTGGAGCTTTGTTTAAAACAAAACTAGTGAAGTTACAGGGTTGCACTCTAGAGAGTTCTTGATAGTGGACTCTGGCTTTTGGATGGCATTGTTCTTCTAAGATAATTGTACTTGCATTAAATAAAGCACATGTAAACATGTGTGGAAGCACTCAGTGACAAATAACAGGCCTGAGTAATAACTGGGTGGGTCGAGTGGAAAATGCTGCTCAAAATCAAATCCATAATTAGGCATGAGGTTTCGTCAGTCAGCAGAGGAAGTGGCTGTAGCATCTCCACCACAGTGTGATGACCGCAGACACCAAACCGTGTGGGTGCAGCTCTGACTGGCATCTCATCCCACTGCACCCCCGTAAGGGACAAGTAGCACTGCAGTCTGAATACAGCGCCGTGCATCCCAAACATGAGGGGGAAACACAAACATGACTGGACATTTTGTTTCTTTTGTTGGCACAGATGATCTGCCCTACTTGAAGTGTCCCCTGCACACTGTCCTAAAACTCACCCCCGTTGCTTACGGTAAGTCACTTCACTGTTCACAAGTTGACTAAACTTCCTCCTCTGTTGGGTTGTGACGTGTTGTTCTCCTGTCTCCCTCTTCCAGGTTGTACGGTGGACATGTTTGACCTGAAGGTCGAGGCTGTCAACACACACAGAGACAGACCATTAGTAAGCTCGTGACCTTTTTTTAATTAAGTTCTGTCGTAAACACACTGTGACGTTTGTCTGAAGTTGTCAGTCGAGTTCAGTAGTTCACGTTTCTAGTGCGTGCAGCCAGTAGAATCAGTCATCCCCTACATCATGACTAGACAAACTGACCACGGCTATATTTAGGTCAAACCACACTTCCAGGAGTCTTTACCTCAAAAGTCCTTCCATCGGATATATTGAATTTCTTTTGTTAGCTTCAGACAGAGCCAGGCTGGCTGGTTCCTCCGGTCAACGCTCATAGAGAAAGATACTTGTGCCTCACAAGGAATTTAGATTTTTAAAGTGTTTTTTGGCTGTTTACTCGAACCAGTGATGTTGCAGTTCATGGTCCGTGTTAAAGCTGTGGGAGCAGCGCCCTCACAGTAAAGGACCAAATGAAAACGAGATCAATAAAAAGCCTCCAATGTAATAGATATCCACCTTATCGAATCAGCCTCGGCTCTCTCTAGAAACCATTCGTTACCGTTGTATTTGTGAGGTGTGCACATTTTCATAACATCTGCTTTTACAGATACCAGTTTATGGTCGGGAAGCAAACTCTATCCCCCAACAGTGAACTGGATGTTCATCAGTGATCTGTGTTTATTCCGGGAATCCCAACGACACATTCGGAGGCTTTTTGTCTTTATTTCCTAATCCGCCCGCTTCATATCTGCTCCCCGGTTTAGAGTTTGTTTTCTGATGAGTGACGACTGTTGAAACCAAGAGTCCTAGACAGAGTGGGTGTTAACACATAAACACGTTAACTGACAAAGCTCTTGTTAAATGGGCTGAGAAATAGCCGGTCTGCTGAGACCAAAATAGCAATGGTCTGTATATTTATGGCTGTTTGTTTCAGTGGTTGTTTTTCTCTCCTGGCTCTCCAGCAGTCACTTACACAGAACACAGTGACTTCAGAGCTTCAGTAGGAGAGGTTTAATTAGTACAACACACACACAAAAAACACACACATGTTAATCAGCCCACCACTGTCTGCTCTTCACTACCCAGAATGCTGTGCCGCCGGCGTTCATCCGACGAAACAGCTTCACCCCGTTGTCCAGCCAAGACCAGATCAAACGGCCGCGCCTGTACAGCGTGGGCAACCCTTCGCATGCTCGCATGTCCCAGGCTCCTACTTTACCCAGCATGCAGTTCTCTGAGGCGTCCGAGGGGGCAGAGATGCTACAAAGCGAGGTCAGTGCAGTGAGTGTTGCTGGATGTAATTCATCATTTTAAAGATAATAAAGAGGAAACTGTCTGACAATAGAAAAATGAAGGAGCTATGAAACAGCAGCAAGGGAAAGATGAATAGTTGAATAATTTTAGTTTAGATTTATATGTATATGGCCTTATTTGTATTGGTTTCTTTGCTCTGTATATTGAGATGTGTTATTCCAGAGATGAGGGCCCAGTACAACCCCAGAGCTGTATTATCATGTTTTACATTATAAAGGTGTTTAGAACTAACAAAGTGGCCTTCACACACATCTTGAATGTGATTTGCCTCATAAAGCGACCTCTCTTAAATGTTCTGTAGCTCATAAACTGAAAAGAGGGCAGAAAGGGAGTGTTTCACTCCGGCTGGTGACCTCAGATTTTAATATTGGCTCAAGTTCAGTCGGTGCCAGTCAAAACAAACGCCTCAGTCGTCTCTTGGTTTGGTGTTTTTCTTAACGCTTTCTGCCTTCCCCCCTTTTTCTGTCCTGCAGGACTCTGTGAACGGTTTCAGTGCAGCACACACAGGCGAGCGGCATTAAAGAACCACAGAAAGAGGTATTTTCAGCATCGTCCTCTTGTTTATCATGTGGAACATCTGTGGTCTCCACCTCGAATATCTCACATCTTTGTTTTGCCATTCAAGACCAGCAGTAAACCCCCCCCCCCCCCCACATTACATTCTTAAACACTGTATCTGTGTAACCATGTGTTATCTCTTTGTTTTTCATTGGATATGTTATGTGTGTGTGTGTGTGTGTGTGTGTGTGTGTGTGTGTGTGTGTGTGTTGGTGTGCACATACATACATGAACTCAATGCCTTTGCACAATAGCCTTCATATCAAGGCTGCGATCCAGGTCCGATATATAAGAATGTAGAAACCCCTTGTACACTCCACATACTGTAGTCTACAGTCATATTATGCTGTATTAGATGTAGAACATGTTGATTGTGAATTTTACTCCTCTTTTTAGTTTTACTGTAAGAGAGTGCCTCTCTTTAAGGAAGCCACGTACAGCCTTAGTTTCCTTTAAGTTACCTTTTCAACATTCCCAGGTGATGAGCGTCCTTCCTCGGGCGGTCTCATAAGATGTAGTAAGAATTTAATTTTGAAGTGTAATTCAAAGCTTATCAAGCTTGCAGTAGGCAGACACGGGCTGTAAAAAGTAATGAAATGTTTCGTCTTGCCTTGTAAAAAACATTGAAGCAGATACTGTGCTTATTTCCTCTGTGACACTTATTCTGCTCTTCTCTTCATTTGTGTTTTGCCTTCCACTCACATACCAGCTTTAATATGTTCAGCTGTGTCGATGTCAAGCTGACGACATTTGAGTTCCGTGAAACTGATGCAAATATTTCAAACACAAAGTGCTCTTGAATTATAATGCAATTCAATTCTTCATAGCTAAAAGTAAATCAATCGTATATACTGTATGATAATGACTAGCTTCACAGTAACCACATGGATAACATCTATTCACATGACTTTGATTAGATTATCAGCAATAAATCAACATTTTGGAAAAAAGTGCCTTTATTGAAAGGACTACAATAGGTATGTATGACAATAGGATTGAATGTCTTAAAACGAGCTGCTCGTTGAACACTGTATACCGTACATGTTTCCTTTTAATAAAGTTCATTTTATCGCAGTGTTTACGTTGACGTCTCTTTATTTTGACCTCAGAAAAGTCTTTTAGTTTGGTGAAGAATTGTGTGTGTGAGCTCACTGGGAGTCGCCTTTCTGTTTGATAAACTTCATGTCCCCAAACTAACATCACCAGAGCTCAAAGAACAAGAGGGCAATTATTATTCTTGCTCTGCTCACTGAGTGTTTAAAATGATGTATACGCTGCAGGGTGAGTCATCAGGGAAACGGGGGAGGAAACGTCCCAATCAGTCGTATTTTCAGAGAATTTAATCTGCAAGTTGCTTTGACGCCTGAAATGATCCTTGAATGTGTGGATTCCACACTGATTAAAGATATTCAACAAAAAGAAAATAGATCACGGTCACTTAAACCAAAACTACATAACACATGAATATATACTAAATAATAAACTGCAGAAACACACAAACATACATGAATAAACAAAGGAAAGAAGAAGAAAAGAAACAGACTAAACAATGCCTATAATTGAACTGTCCAGATGCCCATCAGGCCATGACGGTTGGGGTCAGAGGCCTGTAGCTGACTTTTGGTTTTAATATTCTCGGGCCGGACCGCTACATCATTAGTGTGAGGGGTCAAAACATCTTCATGTGTCAGAGGCAGAGGGACTGTAATGAGATGACACCGTTTCTATTTAGAGCAACATTATGTTCATGCTGCAAGTCCCTTTGGATGAAAGTGCTCCTCTGATGGCTGTATATAGTTACCAGATTCTGTGAGGATGTTTACATTCAAAACGTGTGAAGATCTCATAAAACACGACTAAACCTTTTTGGCTTATGGCCCCTTAAACCAGAGCGATGTCTTCTTGTCTGGTCGCAGTTTACATTTGTCTACGAGTTCAGTTCAACCAAAGAATGATGTTCCCCTCCGAGATAGTTTCTCGTGACTCGAGAGGATAAAATTATCCAGTATGTTACAAAAGAGAGGAAGGTCACGACTCGCTCATCTCGTGACCCCATAGATTCATCTTTTTGGGGGTTCCTGACCACCAGGTTGAGAGCCACTGTCATAAAATATACATTAAGTACCACAGATGTAGCGGCTACTATTTAAAGACACTGCTTACATGTAATCCATAATCTGTACCCATTATCTATTTTTCATCTGCTTGTTTCTGTTCCATTGTCTTGTTTTTCTTTTGTTCTGTTGCTGCTGCTCACTGGAGGTTACAGACCATAATTCTGCTGTATGACAAAGTATCTTGAATAAAATACTAAACTATAGATTTATTAAGAATTTTTATGGCATAATATACTATGAATTAATGACTTTTCAAAGACTTTTTATATGACTTTTTTATGACTTTAAAAGGCATAAATAAAAAGGATCTGCCTGCTGTTTCCACCATTATGGCCGGGGTGTAAAATCAGTCACAGTGACTCAAAACCATGCTGGCAAAGCTTTGTTGTGACTTTCCACCACAAGGAAACCAAGCAGTGGTCTGTCTTGATTAAAAATAACCAGAGACAGAGAGGCTGAAAACTCTGCGACCGGGTCAAGAGTCTCATACAGTTCAATTAGTGTACAACTAATAAAAGACAAGTTTAAAATGAGTGGAAATGCAAATATACAATTACATTTCAAAATAAACTTAGTGAACAGGAGGTCAAATTGTTTAGTTTTTTTATTAAATTGTTTTAGAGAGGTGTTTGAACTGTGTGCAGTATAAACTGCATTTATAGCGACTGTAGTTTGAAGTGCTGTTGAATTGTATTGTGTCATATTCCATTTAGTGCCCTGACTGATCTAAATTAGGTTTACAACATGTTTAAAACATACCTCAATTTAATATTTATTAGACTGGGTTTAATTTATTTGATTTCTGTGGTCTATTTGGTTTTTATTAGTAAAAGTGCAGTGGGGTTCTGTTCCCTTAATGTCTCTAAAAAGCTCATAAGACTTTCTTTCCCCTCCAGTAGAAACATGTTGACTTTCTTTCATCTATAAACGTCTAACTTGTTAAACTGAATTCTTAGAAGATCATGGGAATGTTTTGGAAAACGTTTGCACCCCGAATAGTTTATCTGCTTGTTTGGCTTGTTTAGGATTAAATTGAATTGGTTTAGCCCATAAAGTTATTGCAGATCACCATATGGCACCCATGGGTTATGTTGGATTTATATTGATTGTTGGAATAAGGTGGCAGTACGTGTGTCCCTGTGTTTGTTTCCGTGTGATGTCGATCAGCTGGGCTGCTCCGGGTGAGCCACCCCCTCTTCTATAAATTGCCTGATCCGAGGCTGCTGCTGGCATTTGATTTGTAATCTGTCTCAGAGGATTTATTTACTGCACGCAGCCTCGCGGACTAACAAACATGAGGAACGTCCCGTGGATTTTTCTGGTTTCATCCTTTGCCTTTCTTGCTTCAGGTAAATTAAAGTAAAATCCACATTTCGTACATTTGAGATTCTTTATTTATATTTTAGCTCTTTGATCTTCCAAAAAAAAAAAAAAATAGCTCAAGTACCAAAGACATGTTCGGCACCACCGGAGTACCCGAACACCATCCTAGTGAAGAAATATGCGGCCATGCAGAAGTTCTTGAGCGGGGAGAAGGTTTATTATGAATGCGCAGAGGACTTCAGTCCATACAGAGGAAGCCGAGCTGCGCAGTGTGACGGTGGGAAATGGACCCAGCTGACTCTAAAATGCGAAAGTAAGTACACTTATTAGCTGTTCAGTTCAGTTAAAGAAAGGCTAAACGTTTGTATTTGTATTTGGCTGCCAGTTGAATAATGTCTGGGGTTAAGTTCTGTGCTGTGGAAACTCTCAAGATGGAGTGAAGGTGTGCATCAGTGAGACGACTCCTGTGTGGGTTTTTGTTCACCTTCATCACAGAGAAAAGCTGCTCGCACAGGTATGTGCTTCCAAACATACAGAGCGTTTGAGCAGCATGTAGGCGGAGTTGATGCAGCCGAAACAATGCATCAACAGCTACAATCAGCTAAAGCAGGTCTGTAACTTTAATCTCCTGTCAGTCGTCACCACAGGTTGAACAGAGTTATGATTACCTTATTTACAAAAGAATAGTAGTAGAAATACAACAAAAAGAAAATAAGTATTACTCCCCGTCGGGGAATCGAACCCCGGTCTTCCGCGTGACAGGCGGAGATACTGTCCACTATACTAACGAGGAGGAGTGTAAAGGATCATGTGACCTCATCCAACCAATCAATGGGCTGACATGGAGTAGCTAATGAATATTAATTAGATGTGAAGTGTGTTTTAAATGTTTTAAAGTATAGTTTGTAAAAGCGCTGCTTCACTGTGATGAAAAAAAGTCCAGTATAGAAATCCTGCTTACCTTTAACAGAAAAACAGGGAGCCTCTAAAAATGTTAAATAAGTAAATATTGTACTTTTTACAAGTACATATTGTACTTTTTACTGTACTTAAACCTCAAACTATTTGATAACATTAATATTTAGAATGTAAAATTCCTCATACTGACTTCAATTTACTTTTGTTTATCTTTAACTAACTTGGTGTTCGTTGCTGTTGGACTGTACCTGATGTCTGACAGCAGGATTCACTTGTTATGAAGTGCGAACTTGCTTCATTTTCTGTTGAGGTGTGTGTGTGTGTGTGTGTGTGTGTGTGTGTGTGTGTGTGTGTGTG